CCCGAAACCTAACCCTAAACCTAACCCTAAACCTAACCCTAAACCTAACCCTAAACCTAACCTTAACCTAACGCTAAACCTAACGCTAACCCTTTATCTAACCCTAACCCTAACCCTAACCCTAACCCTAACCCTAACCCTAACCCTAACCCTAACCCTAACCCTAACCCTAACCCTTAACCTAACCCTAAACCTAACTCTAAAGCTAACCCTTACCTTAAGTTGAATCGGCTTGCTTTCAAAGCACTATTTAAAGCACCCTTCTTTCTCCGCGCTGGTCGCCCTGTTGATGACATCAGCGATGCGGTTTAATCGGGTGCAGCTTAGTCGAGCGTGGTTTTGACGGGTCATGGGCTTCAAAACATAGGGAAAGGAAGGAACGAGATATCTTCCTTGGCTTCTCTGATGAAACATGTTTCCTTTAGCTCTTACTGGGGGTGTCAGCATCAGTAATTATTCTGTCAATTGACTGGAAGTGTTTCCATCCTAGAACCTTGCCATTCTAATATTTCCAGTTCTTAGAAATGAGGTGGATGCTGGTTGCTTGTCCTCTTTGCTGATTTATTTTGAGATAACTGGACTTAAAGCAAAAACTCACTGATTCATCTTTGTAAGCTAGTCTTGAGATTTTCAGGAAAAACAATGAAGAAAATGAAGATTCCTCCTTGGGGATTGTAATAGAAGATCTTCAAGGTCCTTCCCAATCCTATGATTTTATGAAAATATGAATTTCTAGAAGACTTTTTATAGAATTTCATGCTAATTATTTCCATTTCTATGAATTTCTTAATCATAAATCATAGGGAACTCAGTACTTTATGGTGTTTAGAACTACAATTCCCACAATCTCTTTTATTGATTTAGAAAGGTGGGGACTGAAATCCAAAATTCTGGAGATGTTCAGTGTTCTCCAGCTTTCTGCTGTTTAGTTGATGCGAGTATATCGAATATGCTTAGATAGGCTATTTATATATTGCAGGAGAAGAAAAACAAAGCAGAAAGGTATTTTCATAATGAAAACCTAATTGCTGTTGTGAATAACCTATTTGCTGCTGGGATAGACACGACTTCAACCACATTACGCTGGGCCATAATACTAATGATGAAATATCCTGACATTCAGAGTAAGCACTTTTCATTTGGTTGGATTTCAATATTCAAATATTTTGTTAAATTAAAGTATGATGCAATGAAACATGTGATCTACAAAAGTAAAATTACATGACTGACCATTGTTGTCAAACAAGGAGTAATGTGTTGAATGGGGTGAAATCCCCCCTTGTCTATATCCTTTGTTACCTGCAACATTCATTTAGCTAGGCCATTGAGATAGAACCTATGACAATACGTGTCAAAAGTGATATGCCATGATGTTTTGGATGACATACCAACGTTTACCAACACCTGAGAACTATTATTCAAAGCATGTCCCATTATTACAGAAGTTTTAGAGGCTGTGGAGACGTGAAAATAAGGACCTGCTCTTGCATGGCCTCCAGAGCCTCTGAAATCATGTGAGAACAGGACATGCTTTTGTGTGATTTGGGGAGTCTGCAGAAGAGCTACTTCAAGAATAAAAGACTCATGGAACTCAAGCTGCCCTGGGTAGGCCATAGGAGCCTGTCAAGAGAAGAAGAAAAACCCCACCATATGAAGGTAAATGCCACACAGCAAATCCTGAGGTGCTAGGCCACAAGGACAATTGTGCCATTCCCCAATCCCCATGAACCTTAGAGAACAGCATGAGGTGGCCTGTTCAAGTATCCACAACATTGTAGTACCATAATATACTCATACCAGCAAAAATAAACTTTGACCAACACTTGAAGAAAGAAACAATTCTGACAATATCGGATTTTAAATTTGGAGAATATGCAGCAATGGCAAAATTAACAGCATATATACACAACAGAATTTTAACCAAATTCAAGCAAAAATGTTTCCCTTATATTCTAATATAATATGCAGCATGGCCATATTTTTTTTTTAAAAAAATCTTGGTTTATGGCATCACATTTTTTGAACTTTTCATGATACTTATCTTTCACAGTTAAATGTACCCAGGGTTTAATGCAAAATTAAATATTAACAAACATCTTATACTTGTTTTATTTTCCTAGATAAGGTCTATGAAGAAATTTCAAGAATCATTGGGTCTGCTCAGCCAAGGATTGAACATCGAGCAAAGATGCCTTATACTGATGCAGTTATCCATGAAACTCAAAGATTTGCTGATATTCTTCCAGCAAATGTAGCACGAGCAACTACAGTGGATATAACTTTCAAAGGCTTTTTCATTCCAAAGGTGATTAGCCTCATATAAGTGCTTTGTTCATTCAGTGATGGTTTGTGAATCTCCTCTTAATTATTATCTCCAACCAGATCATCCTTGATATGTTTGAGATTATATATATATATATATATATATATATATATATNCACCCCACACTAATTACTCAAATACAATGCAATAAATTAAAAGTGGGCACATTTTCTCTCAACATTCATACTATTTTGTTATAGCAGATTTGCTATAACATTCTCTTCATTATAATGGCATAGTACAAATGTTTTGTGGCCTGCCAGTGGCCAGTGGAGCTGGCAGCAGAGTCAGACAGTAAGGAGGTTGGGAAGGAACATGGGCCAGACTTGGGGGCTGAGGAAAGCTCAGAAGAGGGCTCGGCATTGGTGGCAGAGAGGGAGCTAGACAGCAGTGAGGTAGAGGAACAGCTGGAGCCTGTTCCCAAAGCTGCCAGAAGACAAGAACAACTAAGAAAGTAGGGTCGACTTGGGAGTAAAGCTACACCTAGGAGGTGATTGGCCTCTCCAATAGGAAACAAAAGTGGAGCGAATGGGGAATGGGCTTTTGCAGGAAACAATTCATTCCTTCAGTCGTTTCAAAAGTGGAAAGTTTTGTTTGTGACTATAAGACATTATGTGCTAAGTGTTGCCTTTGCCCTGCATTTGGAAACTAGTTATCTGGCAGCTTGCCAAGCAAGATAAGGTTCTTGTTGATAAATATTCCTCTGAAAGACTGTTTGCCAAGCCTTGCTCACTGTGAATGAAATGGGTCAGAACAAAATATGTCTTTTAGTCTTGGACTTTCTCTTTAGGTATTCTTTTTTCTCATGGGGAGAATTGGAAAGTGATGCGCCGCTTTACCATATCTGCACTACGGGACTATGGAATGGGCAAGAGGACTATAGAGGATAAAATAATTGAAGAGTGCAGGCTCCTGACAAAGGCATTTGAATCTTATGAAGGTGAGTTGATGTTTCCTTCTGGAGCTAAACTTTCACAGATTTATTGCAGAAAAGTTAACAGTCTACCTCTACAGCTGCCAAGTTCCTCAAACACTCAAATCCTATTTAATATTCTTTTGCCCAATATCTCCATGTTCTCCAGCACTGGCTATCAGTTTCCTAAAGAAATGTACTGTGCCTAAGGTGGGAATACTTTGCCATTGAACAGTCTTTTAAATCTGATGGTCTTTCATAGCTGTAAATTAATTTTAATAAATTCATTTAATTTTTATATTTGCTATATAGGACAACCATTTGAGAATACAGAACTTATGAATTCCGCTGTTGGCAATATCATTGTTTCTATTATACTTGGCAAGCGATATGAGTATGAAGACCCCACATTTCAAGGACTACTAAAGATAATCAATGAAAATGTCCGGCTTGCAGGAAGCCCTCCTGTTTTGGTAAATTATTTTTTTCAATTTTAAAAGGAGTTCATTGTGTATTCACTATGTTATCCTTAATGTAGTGTGGGATTTATAATAAACATTCCACATGTTTTAAGGTTCACTATGACAGAAAAGCCCTTATATCTTACATATTGTATGCAACTATTTCCCACCATGAAATATGAATAGTTTTAATAAAAATGTCCACATTGCCCACATGAAAACTATTCAGGTTTCTTCGTGACTCTTTTTATCCTTTTTGTGTTTTTCAGTTCTACAATATGTTCCCCCTGTTTGGCTTTCTTTTTGGTGCTCGTAACGTAATTCTGAATAATAGAAAGGAATTGTTTGGTTTCATAAAGACCACTTTCATAGAACACCTCAAAGCTCTGGATGAAAATGACCAGAGGAGCTTTATTGATTCATTTCTTGTCCAACAGGCAGAGGTAAGGAAGTGTTTTATTCCAGGAATTCCAAGTAAAGGCCCCTTGGTAATCTCTGAGCTTGGTGGTTTTCTTGCACATGTTTCATCACCCAAACTCGGTAACTAGATAACTAGCACTGATTATTTTACCTAATAATGAAACTTCTGCAAGGAAAACAACCAAGGTCAAAGTGCACCAAGGACCCCTCATTTCAACCTTGAGCTACAGATATTCTTCTTTATTGTTAATTCCAAATGATATTTTCATAGCATATTCATACCTTTAAAGCAGGAAATAAAAACTCATTTTTAACTGACAATTGAAACTTCTAAACTGAAAACTAAGGGAGTTTCCTTTAAAAAATGTCCCAAATAGTACATTTTGAGAGTTATATTAAAGTGCTATATGTAGTATAAAAATATGTTGCAAAGCAATTCTTTAAAGTATTAATTTCCTCAATTTAAACAAAGCCCATCTAAACAAATCTGCTGCTGCTGCTTCTCCTACCCCGCTCTACATGGGGCAGCCTTTGAAGAGCGTCCGGAGACTTCAGCTTATCCAGAATGCAGCCGCGNTAAACAGGTGGAGGCACTCATCGCTCCCATGGCCTTGTCCACTTCCTCAGGGGTGACAAATTCAAACTCATCCCAAAAAGTCCGATTAAGACTGGCCCTTGGCATCTCGGCTGGCATTGCCCAAACAGAGTCCAGATCTGTCTGAATCTGAGTGATTTTATCCGACAAAAACTGAACAAACTCCTCAGCACTTCCCTGGAAGGATTCCCCCACCTCCTCACCTTTCAGGAGGGAGCGGGTCACCCTAAACAGGGTGGCTGGGCAAGATTCCGCGGACACAATAAGAGCAGAAAAATGTGCACATTTTGCCGTCCATATCGCCACTAGATAAGTGCTAATAAAGGCTCTTAGTAGTGATTGATCAGACTCCGAGTTACTAGCCCTCTAGCATTGCTCTAGGTGTCTCTTTTGGCACTTCATCTCCTGGAGTTCCTCGGTAAACCAAGGTGCCCTCCTGGAGCCGCTGCCGTGGAGAGGCCTCAAGGGTGCAATCCCATCCAATGCTCCAGCCGCCGCACTATTCCAGGCAGTGACCAAAGACTCGGCTGGATTGCGGACAAGGGAGTCACGTATCTCTCCAAGCTCTCTCTGAAACCCCTCAGGGTCCATCAGGCCCCGCCTCCCTGCAGTGGGGGGGTAGTGTCCTAAAGTCAAGCCTCAGCAAGGAGTGATCTGACCATGACAAGGGCAAGGTCTCTATTCCCCTTAAATCAAGATCACGTCTCCACTCCCCCGAGAGAAATACAAGGTCAAGCATGTTTTCCGCCCTATGAGTCGAACCCTAAATACCTGGGTCAGGTCCATGGTTGTCATGGAAGCCATGAACTATTGTGCCCATCTGAGCATTCACCAAGAGACGGCAGATTAAAGTCCCCCAATACCATATGTCTGGGGAACTCCACCCCCAACCTGGCTACTGCATCTTGTAGCACAGGCAGGGCTGTCATGACACAGCTGGGAGGCAGGTACATCAGCAGCAAGCCCAATTGAACCCTTAGGTCCAACTTCAAGAGGAGAGACTCACACCCCACAATCTCTGGGGCAAGAATCCTGCGAAGAACTAATGACATTCAGACGATAACTGCCACTCCCCCACCCCTTTCTGGTGTCGTGGTTGGTGGAGCACCTGAAACCCATCTGGGCACATTTCTGAGAGGGCCCAGCCAGGTTTTGGTTATACATGCCAGGTCTGCCTCCTCATCCAATATTAAATCTCGGACGAGGGGAGCTTTGTTCACAACTGACCTGGCATTTAGCAACAACAACCTGAGACCGGGGCCCGGTATTCTTCTGACACCAGATCCTTGAGTTGAGCCTGAGGGGCTGAAAGAAGCAATCGCTGTAATGTAGCGAGTACTTGTTCCCCAATAATGGCTAGCCCTACAGTTCCCACCATAT